AAACCCCGCCCACTTGCCCCATATAAGGTCACAAACCACGCCCCCTCCCCGCCAGCGCGCGCTTCCTCTCGCTCGCGCCTTTCCCGGGAAACCACGCCCACCTCATCTACATAACCACGCCCATTTAACAACCAAATACGCTTATAATTTACATAACCACGCCCAAAACCTACCAAATACCGTCATAATTTACATAACCCCGCCCCCTTTCAGCTCCTATTGGCGGAACGCAGCACCGCCTCCCATTGGCCACCTCCACTGGCGCGCGGTGACGTCATCAGGCAGCGCCACCCGGAAGCGGCGGCGGCGGAGGCGGGCGGGTGAAAAGGGGGGGGGAGGGGCGGATTTTTTTTATTTTTTGGGGTCCCGGGAGGATTTTTTTGTGTTCCCGGAGAATTTTTGGGGTTCCCGGAGGTTTTTTTGGGGTTCCCGGAGGTGACGGAGCCATGGCCACCACCGCGGGCGCGTAGTGACGTCATCAGTCGGCGCCACCCGGAAGCGGCGGCAGCGGCGGGGGGAGGGGCGGATTTTTTAGGATTTTTGGGGTTCCCGGAGGATTTTTTGGGGATTCTGGAGGATTTTTTGGGGATTCTGGAGGATTTTTGGAGGATCCCGGAGGTGACGGAGCCATGGCCGCCCCCGCGAGCGCGCAGAGCGCCAGCAAAACGTGGGAGCTGAGTCTGTACGAGCTGCACCGAACGCCGCAGGTACCGTGAGGGGGACGGGGGAAAAATGGGAAATGTGAGGGGAAATTGAAAAGTCTGAGGGGGAAAATTGAAAAATCTGAGGGGAAAATTGAAACATCTGAGAGGGGAATGGTGGAATTTGAAAGGTCGGAGTTTGGGCGGGAAAAACTGCGAAATTTGGGGGAAAAACTCCAAAATTTGGGGGGAAAAAGTCCCAAATTGGGGGAAAAAAAGGTGAAATCTGAGGGGGAAATTGCAAAATTTGGGGGAAATGGTGGAATTTGAGAGGTCGGGATTTGGGCGGGAAAAAACTGCGAAATTTGGGATCAAAAACTGGGAAATTGAGGGGAAAAATGTGAAATTTGAGGGGAAAATTGCAAAGTCTGAGGGGAAAAATGCAAAAATTTGGGGGGGAATGGTGGAAATTGAGGGGTCGGGGTTTGGGCGGGAAAAACTGCGAAATTTGG